ATTTTTTTACGTGGTGGAATATCGGCCGTCTGGAATGTGGGCGTACCCAACTAGAAGTATCAGACGAACTTGGAATTGCCCAGAGTGTCATCTCCAGGCTTTGGCAACGATTCCAAGATGATGGTAATGCGAGTACACGTTACAGCACAGGTCGCCCCGGAGTAACAACGCTGAATGAGGACTGGTATTTGGCAGTTACTGACAAAAGAAACAGGCGGAGCACAGCCTCAGACCTGTCTCGTCAGCTCTCTTCAGCCACTGGTACGACAATTTCAAGGCAGACTGTACACGGACGCTTAGGGCAGATTGGTCTACATGCCCGTAGACCTGTCAGATGCATTCCACTTACTGCAACTCACTGTCGCCTGCGGTTAGCCTGGAGTAGAGAGCATGCATTGTAGACACCGCAACAGTGGGCTCGTGTGATGTTTTCTGACGAGTCCAGGTTTAGCTTACAGTCTGATTCTCACCGGACTTTCATATGGAGAGCTCCAGGTACCCGTTACCACCAAGAAAACATCACTAAACGACACCATTACGGTGGTGCAGGAAAGCTCGTTTGGGGTGGAATTATTCTGGGTTTCAGAACTGACCTGCATATTCAAATTGGAACCATGATAAGACAAATCTATCGGGACGTCATTCTGGAACAACATGTACGTTTGTTTCGGGACGCCATGGGCGTACAATTTGTGTTTATGGATGATAACACCCGTCCTCACCGTGCAAACATCGTAAGCGAATGCCTTCAATCAGAGGATATCACCCGTATGGACTGGCCAGCATTCTTACCGTACTTGAATCCAGTAGAGCATGTGTGGGACATGCTTGGCCAATGAGTCGCAGCCTGTCAACCTCCTCCTACATGTCTACCGGAACTTCGGAAAACATTGCTTTTTGAGTGGTGTAATATCCCCCAAGATCAGATCAATAATTTGATACTCAGCATGCCTAGGCGTTGTATGGACTGTGTTGCATCGTCTGTGAGACATACAATGTATTAAAAATCATACCAACCATGTAATATTGTTTTTTTCTATATATATATATATATTTGTAATTTGCTCCAGGGAGAAAAAATTGCTAATTTTTTTAATAATATCAAACATATAGCATCTTTTTTTGCTCTTTACCTTTTGTTTAATAAATAACCTTTACAAATAAGTCAAATTTGTTTTGCTTCTAACTCTTCCTTTGTCTGATTTTGCATTATCCTTAATTTATGGACATGAGAGTAAATTACTCTGCAGCAGATATATAAATGATTAAAGTTTGGGTGATAGAAGAATGGTAAGAAATGTACATAAGGAGATTTTTTTAAGAGATATCAGAGGCTAGCTAGGAATACTTATTTATTGTCCAAAGTAAATTATTATAAATTATATCTCAGGGTGACTCTGTGATACATTCAGACATCTTAGATGAAATGGAATGCCTCCAAAAGGAGTCTCTGAGAGAACACCAAAATATTAAAGCTACAAGTCATGGACAGGCAAAGAAATGCACCACATCATCTTCATCGATGAAACTTGATTTTAACTTGGAAGACATTATTGTTATAATTGTTTTTCATACAGATCTGACTAATTTCCTTTGATAGTATCCTGTGAAGAGGCTTGCTACAGTATTTCCCATTTTAATAATATGGGCAGCCATCTGATACAAAAGTCAGAATGCTCTAATATTGATGTAAGAAGTACAGATATATGACTGGTGGATCTTACAACCTATTACTTTGCCATTCATGGTGCGTCCAAGGAATATTTTCAAGCAACACAATGCCTGATCATACTCAGCTTACATTTTTCAGGAATGCCCCCACTTATTGATATCCTCATTTGGCAACTTAAAGTATTTGAAACATTTTTCATTATCTAATGCATTACCTTGATTGAAGTAATCTGAAGCAGCAGTTGCAGGTGCACGGCATGCAAAGCAGCAGCATCATGTCTGCACACACTGTTATTAAAGGGAGCTAAGTGTCTTATTAATTAATGAGAGAGATGAAATAATATATAATATGATTTACATTTTCAATTATAATGATTAATTTATCTTTTATTTACATCACACATGTCAAATTTTGATTGGATCAAAAGGATATTCTGATCTTTTATTCTAAAATGCAATTTAAATAGAGTTAAATTGACGTTCACAAGGCCCTCATGCCACCAACCTTGAACATGGAAACCTGTGGTCCAGTCACATAACAGCAACATCACTTTATGCCTTGCCTAATATTTAGAAATATTGTCACAAACAAATGGTTCTATATGTAATATAAAGTGCATTATTAAGATTGAATAACATATGCAGTACAAAGTCTGTAATCCAGACTCGTTGGGACTTTGGCGATTCCAGATTAGGGGTTTTTCCGGATTATAGATCATCGATTTAAATCTGGTAAGATGGCACGCAGAGATTATACAATCAAAAATTTGAAACCTTAATTTAAGAAATAAAGAGCAATTATGATCTAAAAGGTATCAAAATTTACACAAAAAAAAGTTTAATATTCATTTGTTTACTTATAAACATTCTTTCAATATAAGTGTTTAAGTTTGCTTCGTTTTTTGTGCTAATATTCCTTTAATTCTATAAAAACATAATTTCTTGTCAGTTCCCGCTCAGTCCTTAATTGCTTGTCGAGAATCGACTAACTTGTCAATCGAAATTTTTCATTTTCAATAACCTCTCTGTCACTTTCTTGACTATCGGAAGCAGTATTTTCGGGATTTAGAATCATACTACAGATTTCGCCGTCCGTTAATTGATTGATGATTGGGGCATTGTCGTCGCAATGAAAAACTTCTCTGTATCATCTTCATTTATTCCGCTTTCCACATTTCTTTACAAATCCAATAACTGAAAATTTTCACCCTTTAGTTTTTTTGCGATGTCGGAAAACCTCAATTCACGGCTATCATCTATACCATGAATATGGTAGTTGCCAGAAATTAATAACATTTTTTTAACGTATCTGAGACACATCCTCCCACGATCTTGCGATGCTCCACACAGCAGATTTTATGCTAAAAAATTTCAAAAAAGTTTTGAATAGTCTTGCCATTATTCAAGAAATTTAACATAGATTTTAAAAATGCTACTTTATATTTACATTTCAATGCTTGCACTATTCCCATATCCATGGGCTGAATGATAGACGTACAATTTGTAGGGAAGAATAATACAGATACATTATCTTTCACTAAAACTTTAAGTGAAGTATGCGTTGAAAAGTTGTCAACAATAAGGACTATTTTTGAGTCATCAGGTCAACCAACTGGATTCAAATGTCGCCGAGCCTCGGGTATTTAATGATTTTCAAACCAATCATTCATCAACGTTTGTGTCATCCATGCACTTTTATTTGCACGATATATAACAGGGATAATCGTTAATCCTTTAAATGATCGAGGTTGTGCATGTTTTCCGATAGCATTTCTGCAATCCTGCAGCATTTGCGCATGCTAAAATTGTTACTCGCTTTGAAATCTTTGACACCAGTTGGAGCCTTTTCTATAGAGGCTGCCAAAGTATTTCATGGTACATATTGTCAGAAAAGACCAGTTTCATCAGCGTTGTAAATTTGTTCTGGAAATAATTGTTCACTAGTAATGAGTTCAATGAATTCATCTGCAAATTGTTCAGCAGCTTCAGTATCAGCTAATTTTCACCTGAACGTTTTAAGTCTTATACATGGTGATTTTTAATTTGGTAACCAAACCCCCCGCGAATTGTGCACTCGTGTTTAAGTTCATTTCTTCATGAAATATTTCGGCTTGACCATTTGACATTGGACCCGTCCAATGGCACGCCTCGCTGAGATGCTGTCTGACCTATTCCAATCATCACGTTTAGCTAAGAACCCTTTTTTGTGTTTTTTTGCAAGTAGGGGTTGGATCCACAAAAAATTCAAAGATCCTTTTTCTTTTTGCTAATGTCATTATACAGTTGACTTTCCATGGGACTTACTCCTCCCATAATTTGAGACGGATATGCCTTATCCTTTTTGCAGCAATTCCATTTTTTTGTCTGATGGAATCGAAATATGCTTTTGCTTTGTAGATCCTTTGGAAGCTCCAGAATTGGCAAACTCTTTTTGAACACAATCGAAAGTTCAAGCTTAATTTTTATAAAATTGTTCTAACAGTCTGCAAAAAATAATAAGCCGGATCCAATTAGAAGATTAAGGAACAGCACAATCTGCAACATTAACTGAAAGACCTTAGAATCAGTAAAGATAATTTTAACCTAGCTTATACCGTCCGTTATACATTAAACATGCATGCATAAAGCATACCAAAAAAAAAAAAAAAAAGGTTTGTGGCTTTGAGGTCCACATTATAAATCATTCCGGATAATGTACATCCGGATTACAGACTTTGTACTGTATTAGCTTTTATAATGTAGATTTGCCAAATAAATTTTCCAATTTTAGACATATTCCTAGCAATTATGCTTATGGAATTTAATTTCCTTGAATGAATTTTAATCAATAAATTCCTTTAATAAAATTTTTATCCTGTGTTATCACTATCCTCCCCCTTTTTTTAGTGATATGACAGTTCCACAAGAAACCTGTACAAGCCTATTTCAAGTGACTATTTTCCAGCTTATGATTGTACGAATATAAGTTTTTTTTCTTTTCTTTTTTAGCATGCCTATTCATATAAGTTTGGGTCTGACTCCTACTCAGACGCAAATGGTTCTGTCAAAAGCAACTTCTTAATATGCTGATCATCATTTATTAGTATCCAGCATTTTAAGCTTTGATTTTTAGGACCTATGTATTTGATTCATCAAAGACTTGATAAAGTTATGAAATTAAAACTGCCTTACCTATACACCTCTCATTTTACATTTCACTAACGACACTTCACAATACTTTCCCTTTCAAACCATTCAAGCACTCCTTTCATCTGAGTCAGTGCAAGTTAATGCCCAGTTAAATCTTATAAAAAACAGACATCCTTCCAAGCAAGCAATTATTGTTTTACCTAAAGAACTTTCCCCAGCTTCATTTGCTGACATTCTTGCCATATGATCTAACCCAATTCTTTCAGCTTCTTCAGTAGCAAGTGTATATGACAATTCAACAAACAACATTGTGGCCTTAAAAAAAGATGAAAAAAAAAAAAATTACATGACATACTTTAACACAAATTTAAAATCTTTACAATAAAAATGGAATAAAGTAAACTCTAAATGCATACACAAGAAAATTTTTTAATTCTTTAGAAAGCACAAGAAGCTACATAAAAATATATTCCAAAATAATTCACAGAAGTTTTTAATATATATTTTTCAACAAAATTTTATTTCATTTTTCCAGTTACTGCTATTTCCCTCCTCTATAAAAGCACTTACCCAAATAATGATTTTTATATTAAGACTACATAAAATTCTTCTTTTCAGCTTTTAACTCTTGTTATGAGAAAAAGGAAGTTTCACCATGTATTGGCATTAGTTTCTGTTTTGTGCTTCCGGTTTTGAGAGATTTATTGAAATAAACAAACTACAAATCACGGCTCTATATAAGTGCACCTGTGAATTAAAGGGGCACAGGCGTTTCTGTTTATTTCGTTAGGACTTTTTTTTTTTTCCTATTCCTTTGAAAACTAACATAAGCTTCTTGGTTAACAAACTAAGATAACAACAATGCAGACGGGGGAGAGACTAAGATCCACTCTTTTTTGTTTTCCTTTACCGATTTAATAGGTCATTAATTAATGCCCTATAATGTACTGTATAGATTGGATCAGTAAGACTATCCTCTTTCCCTTGATCACTTTCTGGTCTGTTGTGGACTCTGTTTTCAATTTTGAAACACAGTTTGTTTCTAAACCTGATATCAACAGGTTTTGAGGATCGTCTTTTTTCTGAGGCCTTTTGGGGTTTTGTTTGGGATGTGTTGGGGGTTATATTCAGTTTCTATTCAGTTTCCATACTTAAAAAACTCTAAAAATTTTGTCCAAATCACCGGATACTCCACCCTCTGTCTATTGGAAGACATTCCAAAAAGTAGTAAGAGTAGGAAAGAGCGTTGTGTGCGCTAAAACAAGGAAAAGCGAAAGCAAACAACGTATTTTGAGTGCAAAATATCAATGTAGATTTGCTGTCGATCCCTTTTTGAATTATTTCACCACAGAATTTTTAAATTGGAATTTAATTATCTACAGTTAATTCTTGTTTAGTTTAGTTTTTTTTTTAAATTTCTCCTGTTTAATTTATTTCTATTAATGTGACATTCTTTATATTAATACACATTAAAAACAAGTACATTAAATACGCAACTTAAAAAATTGAAGTCATAACATCAAAATGAATGTTTTATACGATTTTTTTTTTTTTTTTTTTTTTTGTAAAATTAGGCTTAACTGCTGAAAATGGACAGGCCGGTGGCGACAATCCATTTCAGCGGGTCCGGTCCCATGACTGCGCTTTGTTCTCCCAATGCTGGTCCTTAAGGGGTTAAATATGGTGAAAAATGCAAGAGTTAACTGCTTAAGGGAAGCATAATTTCTGGGAAGGACTTCAAAGGGAAATTGGCGTCTATTAATATTAGACATTGCTGCTATTAGACATTCCTATTTTTCTAATCCAGACTTAGCTATCAGTATTCAGTGCTTTTGACTATTAGGCCACTGGTATATAAATATATTAAAATTATTTCTGTACATTAACAGAGCAGAAAATTTAAATGTTCAAAACTTGATATGTATCATGCACTAGAAGAACATTTATGCATAAAAATGAAAGCATTTTTTCTGTGTAGTCGATTTCTAAACATTGCTCCAGACACAGACAGACTTCGCATATTTTACATTTCTGGAATAAAACAATATATAATATTCATAACATCAGGGTTAATATTAAATATATTCCATTTAATTAACCTTCATAGCATTCTAATGCCGCTTCTCAGCGTTTAAAACTTCATGCAAAATATTCATTTTGGGAAACCGAATATAATATAGCAGTCTGTCATTGACAGTTCAGTCTCATATAACATTTGATACAGCAGATGTCTGAAGTGAAACTGATGATTATTACTGATATAGTGAGAACAAAAAGGTTAAAGCATATAAACTATATATAAAAGCATCTGGGTGATACAACCTTTTAACAACTGCAATTATGTTATTTAATCAATGTTTGCCTAACAAGAATAATAAAACTGGATAGCGTATTTAATTAATGAATTGGTCAAGTCCAAAATTAAAGAAATTTATGCTGAGGCATTTATTTAATATAATACACAACAGTAATTTCTAGCTTTAATTTACAACTAGAGAGATAATTATATTTTAGCGGTCAATTTGAAAACAACTAGAAAAACATAAAACTAGAAACTATATCCAAAACTAAAATTCTTATAATCAAAACGACCTCGGCCACTACTAAATCAATTACAGATTCATACATCAAGACTGGAAGCTGAAATGGCAAAACAGAAAATTAGATGAAAATTACCTTGCACATATAATTAACATACATATGTGCATATACACAACATAAATTTTCAACTTTAATTTAATAAAAACTTTAAATCTTATTTTTAATTTCTATGTTAAAAACAATAACATGCTCATAATTCCCTGACTTTCTGGTCAATTTTTGAATTCTCTGACTTTTTTCCGGTTTTCCAGGTAGCATGGTCCAATATTCACAGGACAGGATTATTCCATGACCTTTTGGCCTGTGTGCGGCGTGTAGGTGAACGTCGGTTTCAACCGTAGAGTCCATATTGCCTTTTTAATTTCCTACTTCTCTCTGGATGAGACTTATGACTTTATATGAGATCGTCTTTCCACACCCAACTTGATCATAATCGCTCTATATCGGCAACCTAGACAAAAGTCTCACTTATTTAATCCCACTATGGTTTGAATCAGATGAATATTTCGTTTCCTGTTTATTTTGTAAACAGTATGTCTCGTTATATGTGCTTCTCTGTATGTGGTGCCCCTGACTAGGTACCAATCTTCTCTAGTAAGTGTGTCTATTTTGTAGCCTAGTTGAATGAAATCAGCAATCAAACCGTCGAAGTACTACCGCGACTCCAAAATGGTTTATCACTTGTTCTATATGTGTCTTGTCACTGATGTGTCATATCTTAGCTAGCTACATTAAAATATTACATAGGACCTTGGTTTTTTTTTTATTTTTTATTTTTGAAGGTCTATTTTATTAATTTCTCACTGATTAGAAATTACCAGTGAAATTACTTTTTTTTTTTTTTTTTTTTTTTTCATATTTACCTGATACATCTAATACAACATTCAAGGAAACATTTTAGACTCTAATTATGCTTAAACAGAGACCTTACTAGATTGACAAATGAACTTTTGTCTAGTCTTAACTTAGAACCCTATAACAAAAACTGATAAGAAATGTATAAAAGCAACTAAAATAATTATAGATATTTTGGGTTGAAGTTACAAAATGAAGTAACAATAATTATATAAAGTAACAATAACAATATATGATCTACTCCTTGCAACCTGCAAATATAATCGTAGTTCATATATTTACAAATCAGAAATTAAAAATTAAGAACGTGTTTTCTATTGCCAACAAATATTCTCACAACTGCAAAGAACTCACTAACAATCAGCATAGCACTCTGGCAGTATGATCAGAATAGCCATGCTGCTAAAGCTCTCTTTCCTCTCTATATTATAATTATTTAAACTTACGTAATTTGCATTTTCTGATAAAATAAGACAAAATAGTAGAAGTGCAGAAAATATTCAATACAATAATAAATAACATTCTAATTAAAATGAAATTTATATGTGGAACCATTTCAGAACTGAATCTAATACAAGGATTTCACTATGAATATTAATTTTTCTCTCTTTCTCATAAAGCATTTCTACAGTATTACAGAAAATATCCAAAAACATAGCCATAAATCATGACTATGCTGTGATATCTAAACACATTCTAAGAGTTAAGTATGAACACAAATTTTTTATGATGTCTAGCAAATCCCTAAATATTTTCAATTTAGTAGGGAAGCACATGCTTATAATAAATATTTTTTTCCCTTTTTAAGATGGATTAGATGGCGAATCACTGATTTGCTGATTATGGCTGATTGAGTGGCTATTTGTTTGTTTTTCTTTAATATGGCTAAGATAAAATGCTAACTTTGCTTGGTAACAAACATAAATTTTCATAGAAATTATCAACAAATGTAAGACTTAAGACATTTTTTGAGATTATATTAAACTATTATATTATTTTCAGTTCAATTATAGCTAACAAACTAGCTAAAGATTTTCTATCCAATGGCAAATAGATGTTTATAATATTTTTTTTTTCTAAGATGATTGCACTAACTATACTTAGTCATAAAGATAATGTTTTATAAAAATTATCAACAAACAAAGCTTTCAGAAAATATCACAAATAATTAGATAACTATGAGCTATAATTAAGATTTTAGAGATGATGCTGAATGAGAAATAAAAATGGAAAATTGAATTTTTAAGTTTGCACAGAAAGAACATCATATACAAAAATTTATACACATCCAATTAATTATATGGTAATAAAAATATAACATATTTGGCAGTCACAATACAATGTATCTGGGTATTTGGCAAGTTGTACTACAAGCTTCTGAACATTTTTTGGTACTGTTATCAGGACCAGATTCAGGAAATGCACATATATATCTATGTGTGTATATATACACACAACACCTACATTTCTGAATCTGTGCCAATAACAGAAAAGCATCCTTCTTTCCCCACATTTAAAACTGCCAAAAAGATCAAATAAAGTACATGTAACAATGACCTAAATTTATTTAAAAAAATTCAAAATAACATACTTCCGTATGCCTTCCAACTGGATTAAGTTTTAAGAATAATGGCTTCATTATTCACAAATCATACACAACAACAAAAAAAAAAAAAAAAAAAAGACATATAATTAAAAAAAATACATATGTATAATTCCAAAATATAATTAAATAAAAAACAAGTAGTCAATCTAACCTGTTTGTGAATTTTGATATCAGATTCATTTACATTATCACCAGTAGTATACCAACCAAGGAAGTCCAATTCACTAAAAACTTGCTTGACTGAAGGGAGAAAAGAAAAATAAATATACAAACGATTAAATAAACAAAAGCAAGGTAACATGCTATTAATTTAATATTCATTTAAAGGTTCAAATTGTGTATAATTCCAAATAACAGATTTTACTAACTTTAACAACACAAAAACTTATCTTCAATTCAAGTTAGCAAATTAGGAAAGGAAAAATACAATCAACTCAAGTTAGCAAATAAGGAGAGGAAAAATACAAAAATACAGCCAATTTACTAGTCATATAGCTAATATGCTTCAAATACAATATAAAGCAATGCATATTCCCTCTAAAGTGCAGCTTAATGCATCCTTTGTGGACACTATCCCCTATGTGACATTTCTTTTGTACGAGACAAAAAACTTTATATTTTTAACTTTTGCTCAGTTACCTAGGTGTATAAAATAATATGAATAATATTTTTGATGAAATTATTGTAAAATTAGTTTTTTTTTAAACATGTGGATAAAGAGAACAATATTAAAATTGAAAATGATGATAAATTTCAGTGCAGTAACATAGTAGAGTCTGAAGATTTATTTTGGATTTTATGATGCAAGTAACTACAGATAGTTTTCTTACACTCAATGATATATAGCAAAAATTTAAGTTTAGTAATTATAATAAAAATTGTAAAACTTTATGTTTGACAGATACAATTTAAGGATTTTCCCAGAAGAAGTTACTATTACCATTTTTAAAAATTTTATAAGAAAAATACAGTTAAAATCCTTTCAATATTTTACCTCCTTTATTAAATCAAAATACTTATACTGTTTCCCGCTCAATAAAAATAAATTTTTACTACTAACATTACTACTTAAACAAAAAAACAAAACAATAAAAAAATAAAAAAAAAATACATTCCAAAGATAAATATTTTGTGTCTACACTTGAATATTTTCCATGCTTAAACATAAATGGCTACACTTAAAAATTGAAAACTAACAAAATACTATGCTTTACTATTCAAACAAAATAAAAAAGGAAATTTATACAGAGATTATTGCAATCTATCTGTACTACAATTAGCAGGTTGATTTCTTTTTTGGGGGGGGAGGGGGAAATCCGGAATAATACAGTTTCTAATACAAAAACAATGTTGCAGTTAGAAATTTTGTAGTTGATATTACAGGATATTATACACACATTTGCTTCATTTATCATATTTAAGTTATAATATTTTCTGCAGTATGGTAGTAAATAAAGACCAAATAACTTTTTTGATGATGGGCAACACACTTTTAAAACACAGAATGTATATAAAATGGCTATGAATCATCAATTGGCAACAGCATGCTCTTTTGTTTCGGATTTATATTTATAACTGACTTATTTTGAGGCAACATAATATTAATATGAAAACATAATATTTTGAGACATTACAGAAAGTAAAAGAAAAGTTGACTACACGAATACCCTTCTTTGCAAAATTAAAAAATGAATAAATTTCTGTAGACATTTTAGAATAAAGAAATAATTATCTGTTACTGAATATCAACTGCTCAGACAATTTCAAAACATTTGTCAGTTTTGATGAAATCAATGTATTTTGCAGAATCATGCTACTCCACCAAAAAAAACTCTTTTTCGTGGCTTTTTAATTAATTTTGGAGTTTTGAGATCAAATCATATGCCACTTAGAGGGATAAATTAAAAATAAATCTCATTTGCATTACAAAAAGTAAACAAGAAACATAATTATTCATGTACACTGTAATTGCACTTAACATAAAGATTGAATTTCTACTCACCAGATTATAAAGAAATTTACACAATTATTTGCTAGGCAGTGAACCTAGCAGTTTACAGTAATAACTAGAAATATTTATGATTAGCTTGGTATAACATACAACCGCTTGCATCTTTATTTTCAGCTGGAAAAAAAAATTCTTAAAGCAGATGCTAAACTAATGTTTTCTGATAGATACGATATTTACTATTGCTGGAATAACAGTAGCGCATAAC